TCTAGATCCCAGTCTGTATCAATATCTATTTCCTTCCCTCAGACTCCGGTCTCTCTGTGGTTAGAGAGAACACGAGGTCCAAATAAGGAAAATTCACGACTTCAAAAAGCATAACGCTTATGGCGGCAAGGGTTACAATTTGGTTTTGCGCGAATACCGGTGTCAAGGATTATAGCCAAGGAATAACCATAATCGAGTATCGGCGTCATGAAGGATTAAACGGGGGACGCAGAAGCGAAATGGACATCGACGAACAGAGGTGCTCGAAGTCTAATACAGATTTGACCTATTGGCAGAACTGAGCAATATCCGTAAGGTTACGGTTCCTGCTATATATATATATATATATATATATATATATATATATATATATATATACACACAGCCGCGCGAACGGGCAGTTTCGAAGGATGGAGGGATAGAAGGGTTGAATACAGAGGGATGATCTTTCGTTTTGTCGTCTGTATAGGTCGACGTTATCTCCAGGACATTGTTGCTCCAGGATACCCCTTTGACGAAAGGATCTACTTTCTCTTTCAATCCCGTTCTCTTTTTCCATATTTATCCCTTTCTCAAACTCTATGGATGTTATCCTGATCACAATACACCAGCAATATTACACCGATATACTGATGACTCCCAAGTTAAGGGGGCCGTCGTATCTAGCCGGATGCCCACGAGACCGTCTTTGAAGGGTAGATCGAATATTCGGATAAGCCACTGGGGCTCTCTGTCTCTCTCTGTCTGTAGTATATATATATATATATATATATATATATCAATCTACTGGCAACCCTTGTATTCCGTTAGCTTCTTCTTTATCAGCCGATGAACCAGCTGAGACACGAACCACTGAACAAGGAATGACGAAGGCTGGCTACTCTCTGTCCTTTTCCCTCTCCAGATTCCTCGAACTCGACTCGCATCCCACAGACACTGCATTTATATAGGTCCCCTTAGGTCTATTTACTCCTTGAAATAATATTTCACAATTATCTGTATAATAATAAGGAGGAACACTGCATAATAGATACTCACCCTGTATCCGCCAAGGTGGCTCACGAGACAGGTGAACGTAGCATCGCGACCACGTGCCACCGTCAGATTGGCAATAGGCGATAAGAACTCAGGTTGAAAGGCGCCGCCTGTTGAAGAAGGAGTATTATTAAAAAGGGAAAAAAAAAAATTTCATCCAAATCTTCGTGGAAAAAAGTTATTCGAGAAAACTCGCGATTTCAAAGTTTACGCGAGTAACCGAGAGACTGTTGGATGAGGTATATATAAAAAAAAAAAAAAAAAAAAAAAAAAAAAAAAAAAAAAAAAAAAATAAACTCGCACCCCCCGTGATTACGGGTGATCGATCAAAGATAAAAAAAAAAGAAAAAGATGACAAAAATTAAAGACATGTTTCAGGTTATAATGCACAGAGAGCTGATCCACTTTTGGCAGGATAATAAAGGTAAAGAGGCGTTAAGAGGGGCTATCCAGGTAAATGACAAGCGTAAATCTGTGACGTTCAATATAGACACGATAAAGCTGGATACGTCGGCGCCGACGGTGATATACGAGATTCCCTCTGGATCGCGACGCCCACCGTCGCCGTCGTAATACGTCTCTCGCGGTGCTTACGAAAGAGGAAGGCGTCACGAGAACGAAAGCGACGGCGGGAATGAAGTAGAGGAAAATGAAGAGAAGAAAAACAACAAGCACGTCTAACCTCCAAAATCATACTAGACTTCCCTCGCCGCGTGTAAAATAAAGACACGTAAGCCTGTCGGGGCGCCCATGAGCTAACGGAAGATAAATAAAAATATAAATGACAATATTTATACAGTACCGTAACCAAGTATTGGCTGTCACGACAGCCAGAGCCGTTTAAACTAAGGAAAGTGACTGCAGGTACGAAATAGAGTGACAGCTGACTGTCACTACCACACGACGTATGTACATGGACACGTGGTGTATAGACACCACGTTACTCGTCATCAGTCCCGTTATTCCCTTATGCGATGATTCATTAATTCTCCATCTCCCTCTCTCGCATTCTCTCTCTCTCTCTCTCTCTTTCTCTCTCTGTTTCACCCTCAACGATTATTACCGAGCATTTCCGAACGCTTGACATCCAACCCAGCACTCCACATTGTCTAGTAACCCCGTACCTATACCATACAGCATATACTATAGCAGACTGTAGCATTGTATTATACACTATAGTCTATGGTCTACACGAAAGCCACGCGTCACGTGTAAAATTCGACAACATAGCATCCACGTAGCCATAACATAACCCAACTCCGCGTACGTACTCTGGTGAATACTTGTACGTGTGTACTTATGTGCTGTGTGCCTATCCATTATTACGTCTGTCATTGGTACCACCTTGCCGAATATAATTACTCCGTGAAATTCGTTATTCCCCGTATATCTGTGTGTCAAGCAGGAGTCGTTGACGTTCATACGACGAGATTACATTAGACTGATATCTCCGATCTGCGAACAGGCGAAGGGCGAACTTTTTAATAATGTATTTGAAAATTATACGTCTCCGCTTTACCGACATCAACAGATTCACGTGGAGCCCGCGTAGAAAGCAGGGATTCGCAACCGTAACCGAAACCGGAATCGAAAACCGAAAAAAAATTATGAACCGAAACCATAACCTTTAAAAATTTTAAAATTGTCATATCCGTAATCGGTATTCGAAATAATTGGAATGAAAAATCAAAACCAAAACTGTTAACCGAAATGCAATGTTTCGAGAAAAAAAAATAATTAAAAAAATTTCCATATTCAATATATAATATAATACATAAATTTAACTAATATATAAAGTACATTCTAGAAGAAAATTGGTGTATTTTTTTCAAACGTTATACACGATTGGCTAATCCTTTCTAAATTCTAGCAGCTACCTGCTGCTTTTAGTCTCGATGAACCTTTTTTTAAAGCACGGGTATGGCTAAACCTTTCGATCCTGTGCCACTCGCTTTATAAATGAGGCTGATTCCCCATGCGCAGCCAATTGCGAACACGCAATTCCGTTCTATTATCTATCGGAAAATTAACGGCGATCCGTGATTTGCTAGCGCAAGTTTTGCGATACGCAAAGTATGCTCATGTGACGGCAGCCTGAGCCTTCGGTTAGTTTCACGGTAGAAACACAGCCAAACCGAAAACCGAAAACCGAAAACTATCTCTCGTTAAAACCGAAAGCGAAATATATTAAGTTTAAAAAGCGAAACTGAAAACCGTAAACAAAAAATGATGAATCGGAAACTTAAAACCAAAAACTAAAACCGAAATTCAAGCTTTTACCATTCCAAGCACCGTAACCGAACCGCTATTTCTTTCGGTTGCAGTCCCTGGTAGAAAGTAAGCCTTGACGCTGACAATCTCAATGTCCCAACTGGGACGGTAATGTAGAACCAAGTCGGGATTGTCCTACGTTACCGACGGGCCTGCAGTATGCAGTCCTAACTGGGGGCCAGTATAGACTCCGTGTTGAGGAGGCAGATTGAATTTCCATCCAGCGGCATAAAGTTATGGACCATTTGTTCGATTGTTAATTTTCGTCAAAATACGTTAAACGTACGATTGACGTAATGGTATAATTGTATAATTGAGCTTATTAAAAAAAATATATATATCCACGTGTTATTTCCTAATGGACAGGTCTCGACGGGTTCGGATCCTGCAAACGAGGAGTGACGCTTTGCCCATTGAGCCGTCAGCCGAATTTGTAATTATTGCTTCAATCAAGAATTACGAATATATTCGTACGTATAAAAATGTAAACTTTCGCGAAATATCTCGAAAGCGATACAATAAACACAAGAGTCAATCGATACTCGGCCGATGCGTGAATTTAATTTCTTTTTTTTTTTTTGCAAAGCACGTAAAATAAACATCGAACGGAATTGCGATTAATTTTCGCGTTATATTTATTTCCAATGTCAGCTTGGACGAGCGCTACGAAGATCGGTCCGATGGATACTAAAAATTTTCGGCAGTGGCTTCAGGACGAACCTCGCCGAGGAAACTTCTCGATACCTTTCTCGTAAATATTTAACTAATGCTTAACTCGAGCTCAGTTAAGCATTAACAGGGAAAACCCAGATTGAATTAATATTGATGCCTCTTTGGCTCGACTATATCCCCTGTAGAAATTTAGTTAGGGGTACGAGTAGGGCACGATCGGCTTTCCCTAATTCGGATCGAGCTATCGTTCGGGCATTAGCTGGAGCTGTCACGCTTCAGCCGCAAAGCCTATACCAGACTGAACAGAGTTCCTAATGAAGCGTCCTTGTCAGTATAACAATAACGCATGGAAAATCTTAAAGTTCGTTAGATTTTTTAATATTCCTCAATATACACGAATCGTATCTAAGATGACCCAGAGCAAGCTCAGTGAGGACCCGGCCAAGTATTTTCATCGTTTAATCGAATCAGGATCTTCGCAATCAGGGTCGAATCAAGGTCGCATTAAGAAAGCCTACCTGAGAACGTCCCCTTACTAGGGCCTTTTGCGTATGAGGGGTCTTCCCCCCTGACAGATGTTTACACGGGCTAGAAGCCTGGTTAGAATTTCCCAGGGAACTTTCATCGTGAAAAGCACGTGGAACGTTCACGAGGAAAGGCAAAATTTTATTTCGGTCGCTCTGCTAATTTTCTAACCGCGATCGAACGAGACGACCAATCGGCATCGCGGAAAGTGATGACAGAATTTCAAGATATTTTCGTTATGCGGCAAGTTCGCTCTCGGCGTAGATCATACGCTACAGGTAGGAGGTAAAGAGAGGTTACCCGATAGATCCTAATTTCTTATTCGTTAGAAGCACCTTTACGGAGCGGAGGGGGGGGGGGGGAGTCGAAGTCTGCAGATCACGCAAAGGTTTCCGCTTGCGGAGGCGTCGGATGGAAAATCGTCAAGACGACGGATACGGATGTAGAGTGGGAGGAAGGGGGGCAATGGAGAAAATGGCTGAACGATGACGGAAAATCGTAGGGATCCGGTGGGGTAGGTCTAGGCGAAGGGATTTTTGGTGATAAAAATTTATGAAATACGTTGGAAAAATTGTTTGCCGAAACGGGATTGGCGCCGTGGTACCAGGTAACGCGGAACACTGGCAGGATAATAATAAAGAGAATAAAGCTGGAGACAGGGCAGGATTTGCAAAATAAAAATATGCTGCCAGTAATGGAATGAAGAGGGCGGTGCGAGGAGGGAAGAGAGGATTTTAGACGAGGGAGAGAGAGAGGGAGAGAAATGGGAATAGGCTGTCGATACATGGTCTGGAATAGGGAGCTAGGGGGGGCAGAGCGGGGACTCTATGGTATAGTACATCCTACATGCATCCTCAGGTGCATATGATACGCACCTGGCTTGCATTCGTGCGACATGGTTGCATCGATAGAGGAATGCAATTTCTTGTGCAAGTAGACTGGCCAAACAAGTAAACAAGTACGATAAACGGACCCTTTTTACTTTGCACTTATCCTTATAAGACGTAGGTATATATATATATATATATATATATATACTGTATATACGACTGCTGAGTTCTCTTGGCAATCTTTGAACGTCTTTTCAGCCTTTTCTCTTGGCATTGCTTTAAAAGGGTTTTATTATGATTTCAAAAAAAAAAAAAAATTAAAAAAAAAAACGTCTTGTAAACTCTTCTTCTTGCTCGTCTGGATAGCACGCTTACGCTGTCGGGACACTTTTTATTTTACGGTTTTTTTTTTTTTTCAATAAAATTATATATGGATCCAATCGATGTATTGTTAGTTACGCGTAATCGATAAATTGTACGCGATGCCAGCTCGATTGATTGAGCCAATTGATTGAACCATGGATGAATTGTGAAAGGTCGTAGATGAAATATTCGTGAATCAAATTTGTTCGAAAATAATTCGCGAGTACGGCTGAATGGTTTTTAGATTTTTATGTACACGTGAGTGTTTCATTAATGGTACCTCGGCCTCTTTTTTTTTCCTGTCTGTCTTTCTGTTGCTTTTCGCCGTTTATACTCTCATTGACGGTAAACGAGCGAGCAGGTGTCACCGGAATAGGGGGGGAATGGGGAGGGGGGGGGGAGTTTAATATTAAAAAAAAAGGAAAAATACGAAAGATTGAAATAATGAAAAAAAAGACACGTACGTCAAAATGGTATTGCATCTGCGTGCGTGAACAGTTTTTTGCTAACTTTCGATTTTTGTCTTTCGACGTCAGATCGACTTTTTCGAAAAATCTGCCGAGAAAATGTGTGACGGAAATGTTGTCAAATTTTAAGGTTAGTCACTGAACCGCGAACTATGTGCAATTTTTACACGTGTCAAGGATACAATGAGCCGCTACAGGCTATTTCATATTCTGCTGCATGGATACCCCAAAATGCACAGGTCGAACTGTATAACTTTTAATGGCTGCGAATTGATTGTTACGGGCAATCCTGGTTTTTGGGAATTGTCATAAAAAAAATTCTGGGCTTCTGGTACTTCAAAGAATAGAAAATTAAAAAATTTCTAAATAAAACATTAAATATTTCTCGATCCCCATTTTTTTATTTTCAATCACTTCAACCGTTCGCAGGCAATATTTGCCGATAAGAAAAAAACTTATTTAGACGAATGAGGTATATTAAAGAAACTCACCAAAATTCTGATTCGGATAGATCAGCAGGGCGAGCACCACCACCGTGAGGGCTTTCTCGCGATCCACCATTCTGCCACGATCATGGATCCAGCTATAAGCAAACGAAGAAAGTGAAGAAGAAAAGGGAAAAATTTCAAATCAAAGGAGAAAGCAAAAAATAAAATTTTACCATCGTCACAGATAAAATATTTAATTACGAACATTGAATATTCATCGATAACTCTTTCCCCTCCTCACTGCATTCCTAAATACGTGTAAAAGAGAAATATTCACCGCTGCCAAAAATTGCAGAAAATTAAAAAAAAAATACACAATCCATTACAACCGTCCATCCTATCGTTATAATAATTATTTCATCATCAAATCAATTTTTCTTTTAGAGAAAAAAAAAGAAAAAAAAATATGAAAATATTCGACGAGCCAAGCAATTTCGAAAAAAAAAAAAAAAAAATGGATAGAACCGTATCCTTCGTGCAATAGTATATATCAAGGATACCAACGGCGCCCAAAGAAATTCCCGTTTCGCGAGGTAATGGCCAGTTTCCTGGTTTTCAAAAAGACGCGCAAGAGAAGCGGCGCGGGAAGGCAAAAGTCGGAAAAGGGGATTAAGGTGAAAGAAAAAGTAAGACCGAAAGGATGTACCATGAAGTTTGAATACGCCATTCTCAAAGTACATAAAAATATCTATAGAAACATACAGACATAAGTATACAGTCAATAATATATATCTATAGATATATTCTCATAGCTCGTAAGAAATTCTCCCTTTAAATAGGCAAACGAGAGAAATTCAATTTCCAAGCGAAAAGTATAATTGTAACTTTATGGTAAGTTAACGCTAAACTTCGTATTTACATTATAGGTACAATTATTATACGTATGTACGCACGAGCTGTGGAAAGTTATAAAAGTCCAGCTTAATATTATAATGCACTTCTTATATTCCAGTATCCTATCGGATATCGCATATTCTCCGGTGTCTACTCTGCCTTCCATTTATATGTATCTTTTTTATTTCTTCGCCGTACATCGAAAACATTCATAAATACGAATGCACGTATCGGACCGAAGTATCTATGGTGATAAGATATATTTTCGAAATGCAAATAAAAATTGGATAAAAATTTTTATTAAGTTTGCACAATCCAGCCAGAAGTCAACGACGTGAAATTAATAAATTTTCGAATTTTCCATTGGTCAGCAGGCTAATTTTTAAATCAGCCACGATTGCTCGGTATACTTCGCAGCATCCACGTCTGGACCATCTCGGCAATCTCAAAGCGTAAAACTAATCCTATTAGTTAACCCATAATTTTTCCAACTCCGCTCTACGATCTTTCGAAACAACGCGAGAGCCACTTGCATACGAGGGACTCGATCTGCATTTGAAATTTCATTCGCCACGACTACCAAATGAGCCTTTCAGTCGGGTCTGCGAGAATTTGGTTCGGCTGGATTTGGATACACGCGGTAGGTATACGAAAGGATGAAGGATGGATTTAGTTATGAACGAGACAAAAAGTTGGATGGAAGGATGAAAAAAAAAAAATAATGAAGTAGCTGACTTGACGTTTCACTAGTGACTTATGAATCCTTACGCTATATATATATATATATATATATTTCAAAAATATAGACTTATTCGTTGCAAGATACATAATTTCAAGACGCCATGTTTTTTCCAATGGAGACTGACAGTTATATAAGAAAATTAAACAACTCGAATTTCAATTCCGGAGCGACGTGATTGGCAAAAATCTAAGGCGAATTATTAACCCTTTGCACTCCGTTCTCGCCGTATGTGCGACATTAAAATGCTAACATTAAATCCACTGTCGCGGCTACGGCGACACGGTTCTTTCACTGTAACTAATATAGTGCTGGAGTTATTGGTATCCTCTATGAGTTACTAGGCTGGAGTGCAAAGGGTTAAAGTCCGTCAATTAGGTTATGTATCATTCTTATCTGACAGTCAAGAACCCCGTATCCCGTCATGTCAATAATCGTACTCTGAAATTCTCAATAAGTAAACCCTATCAATTTCGTATCGATCCAATTTTGTTCTAGATTTAAACTATAAATTTACAATTTTTTTTTAAATTACACTTAAAAAAGTCATATTTAAATACAACATACTTAAATTCTCATATCCTTAGGAAACTCATCTTTAAAGTTATCTAATCAGTTAACAATACTTTCAAAATAGATTTACAAATTCGAAATTATTATTGACACGAGTATCCTAACCTCTTTCTTCGTATCCTAAGTTCGCCCATTATTTAGAACTCGTATACCCGGGATGTCAATGCAAAGCCACGAAAGCTACGTAGACTTTGATGAATTGTGTAGAACGTTTTGGTGCTACACCCGGTATAGATTTTGACGTAAACTTACGGGCGAATAGCTGGCTAAACGAACGAATGAATATGAGAAACTTTATAACCTGTTCGATCTAGCTTATCAATGTGATTATATTAAATACGCATTCATATATAAAGATTATATAAAACATATATATATATATATATATATATGAATAGACAAAAATATTAATTCAGTGGAAAATGATTTTCCACATAATCGTAGCGAATATATGCAGATATTATATAAATAAATTATAATCGTTATTGCGGTTAATATCATTTTAATAGAATTCAATGTATTAACTGATTAAGAATATGCATTACGTATACATATACAGATATATACATTTCCTACATTTCTATTAATAATATATTTTATATATCCGCTTATCATCTGTATACTCGTAGTGAATCGTATGTAGAAAATAAATCCAAAATATTTCAGCATATTCAATTGACATTAAACTATTCATGTATAATTGTGACGTATCAATTCTACGCATAGAATTCGACATACGTACCGGCAATAACGATAGAGTGATTTATTGACGCGTGTAAAATGATGCATGAACACTGTTATGCGTACAACGATAACAATAACAATTAAATTGTTCGTAAGCGAGATACGATCTGATATATTTAATGCAACGTAGAAACTGTTCGCGTGGTTGTTTTGGGAATAAAAAAGTAAATAAAGTATAAATAACTTATTTCATTTCACTGTTATTCCTCTACAAATATTCCAGGCAACAAGTAATATTACGCTTAACGGATAATCAAAAGTCGATGCCATGCTTAATAATATACATATGGTATAGGTGTATGTGCGGGTTAATTCCTAATTAGATTTTTGGCTGGACGCTATTATGTCAATAGTGATCTATTGAATGAATGAAGAAATCCCCACTAGACCCAATTAGCGAAGACTGCATACCGAATGACGCCGGAAGCTTCTCTTTTCTCTTGGAACATTCAATATTTTATTTTACCCTCGTGCACGTCTACCACGTGCTTTTCTGTTCTACGTATCCGTATAGTATATACCGCGTGTATATATACTCTGTATGCATGCAATTATACATATGTACAGTGTGTGTATCCCAGGTTATATATTTTTAAACGCGGTATATTGTTTAACCACGATGTGCTACCCATGACGCTAGCTTGAACGGTCCAAGTATAATTACCGTAGCATCGATTTATTTATCGCGCTATTTGTCTCAATTAATTTTGAAGTAGCCATCAGACTAGTGGATAGCGGGGAGAGAGGAGGGAAATGGGCAAAGAAAAGTGGGAAATGTGCTCTAGAACATTTCCTATTAAGACAGCAGGAAGATACAAGTTGGAAATTTTGTATGAATATTTCAAGAGGGCATTTATCTTTAATGAAACAGCGGTTTTCAGGTAGAACGATACAAGATGGTCTCCGGTCGAATTCGACCGTAGTTGAGGAGAAGTTTTTGAAATGACAAAGTAAAATGGCGGATAGAGAATTAGAGAGACTGGATCGTGGGGGGGG